CTTGGGTGGCCTCACAAGGGTATTTGTGAAAAGAATGAGGATGAGGAGGCATGGAAAAGGATGAGGGACCTAAGGGAAAACAGAGCCACAGGGACAAGGACAGGGACATGGCAGACCCAGAGGGGAACAAAGAGTTAAGGCAACTCATACGGGGATGGGGGCAGACTGCTGTGGGGACATAAGGACAGGGGAAACCCAAGGGGGACAGAGTTACATGGAAATGGACGGTCTTGGGGAGAGACCCAGGGGTACATGGAGCTAGAGGAACATGGACAGGGAGATGGAGGAGGGATGTGGAGTCATAGGGACAGAGAGATGGGTATACCCAGAGAGAACATGGAGTCACAGGGACATAGGTGGGTAGACCAGGGAGGACATGGAGTCACTGGGGCACAGAGATGGGGAGGATGTGGACTCCAGGAGGACATGGACTCACAGGCACAGAAGAATGTGTAGACCCAGGGAGGACATGGAGTCACAGGGACACAGGAATGGGCAGACCCAGGGAGGACATGGAGTCGCAGGGACACAGAGATGGGAAGACGCAGGGAGGATATGGAATCTCAGGGACACAGAGATGCGCAGACCTAAGGAGGATCTGGACTCACTGCGGCACAAGATGGGGAGGACGTGGACTCCAAGAGGACATAGACTCACAGGCACAGAAGAATGTGTAGACCCAGGGAGGACATAGAGTCACAGGGACACAGGGATGTGTAGATGCAGAGAGGATATGGAATTGCAGGGACACAGAAATGTGCAGATCCAAGGAGGACCTGGACTCACTGGGACACAGAGATGGGGAGGACATGGACTCATAGGCACCGAAGAATGTGTAGATCCAGGGAGGACATAGAGTTACAGACACAGAGAAGGGTAGACTCAAGGACAATATGGAGTCACAGGGACGGAAGGATGTGTAGACCCAGGGAAGACATGGAGTCACAGGGACAGTGGAGTCCCAGGAGGCACGCAGAATGACATGGATTGGATGGTGGCAGACCTGGACCACACAGAGTTACAGGGACATGGACAAATATAGGGGAAGACTGAGTGGGACCGTGGAGCCACATGGACATGGACAGGGATGGGAGGAGTCCCCAGGGGGATGTGAAGTGACACAGAGACAGGGAGACCCACTAGGGACATGTTGCCACAGGGACACAGGTCAGGGAGGTCTGGGAGGGACAAAGATGTACAGGGACACTGGCAGGGGAGATTTGCAGGGTGTGGGCTGGTTGTCTGCGTCAGGGACCTTCTCAGGGTGAGGGAGGGGTGTCTTGAACCCTGCTGCAGAGGCACAGTATGAGAAGGAAGCTCTTTAAGTCTGCAGGTGTGGGTGGTGGGAGGCCCTGGAGACTCACTGTGCAGGAAGAGACCCTGGGTCCCCAGGGCCTCCTGCCTTTGTCATATCTCTTCAGCCAGCCAAGCAGCAGCCAACACTAGTGACTCCCTGACCCAGGATTGGAAGTCTTCAGTATCTTGAATCACAGATATTCCTTTCCCTGGGATTGAATTCTGAAAGGATTGTTAAAATATTTATGGATGGCTGGATGCAGGGGCCCCGCTGCAGGTCTGGCTAGTGTGGGAGGGCAGATTTCCCATAGAGGTGCAGGCCTGGGTGGGCAGGCAGGAGGTGGCCCTCGTGGGAAGGTGGGAAGGGTGGAGCGTGGAGATCATAAGGCCTGGGTGGACTCTGGTGTGTGGGGTGCATGTATGGGTTGTATGCATGGGGTGTGTGTGTGGGGGGGGGGTGCATGCCTGTGCTTATCTACTGGGTTCTGCTTTAATTGTCCCAGAAGGACATGGTGTTTTTCTTGGAGACAGGAGAGAGGAGAGAGGTGAGAGGAGGGACTGAGTTTGTTGAGCAGCGAGATATTTGGTCCTGGGTCCTTGGAACTGTTCTGACTTTCAAGAGATACAAATTTGAACTAGAAATTTTTTCATTTTGCACATGTTACAAACCAGGTGGAAAGAGCATTTGAATTTTATTAGCAGAAATGTCTGAGCGAGGATTAGACCCATCAAGTGGGTGGGGGTTGAGTGGATTGCTGTGGGTGGATCGACAGCTGTATGGCCAGCTCACCAGCCCTCTCTGTCTCCCCAGATTTCTCTTTATTTAGTACTTGACGCATCTGTTTCCATCTGACTTCCTGATTGGACATCCTGCAAAGACACACAGTCCAGGTACTGTCCATTTCCTAGTGGGTGGGTGGACGGACGGGTCCAGACCCCTCTCTTGGGTACAGTGCACGCTGCTTGCTCTCGTACCTGCAGACGGCCACACACGCTCGCAACTGTGTCACCCACAATTACCTAGATTTCATTTTAGTTTGGATTTAATTTTGATATAATTTTAGGTTAATTTGCACACTGAATATTATCATTTTATCAGAGTTCACAGAGCATAATTCTTCAGATTTGATAGAGTAAATCCTTGATTTTCAAAGAGATTAACTGTTGGTATATTTTCAATGTTCGCACATCTCAAAAAGAAGTCTTCATTGTTCTTTCCAACTTTATCATTTGGTTAGGTTTGTTATTCCTTTGTGGCCCTTGGGACTTATTTTAGACCTAAAGTCTTGAATCTTCTTGCCATGCAGGGAAATTTTCTTCACAGTTCTCTTTTTCTCCTCCCACATCCTCCCTGTCTTCCTCTCTTGGAAATCCTAACAGAGGAACATTGTGCCTCCAGGTCGCTTAGCTTTTCTGTCATAATCCCACTCCTCTTCATCTCGTTCTGAGGTCTGTGATAAGCCCTGGATTAGAACTCACAGATTACTGATTCGATTTTTTCTGTTAGTTGGCACGTTCACTTGGATTTTGTTTTTAACTGGGTTTGTGTTTTTCAGTGCTTCAGATTGCCTTTCTATGTTCTCACTCCTTCCGTGATGCCTTGGTCTGTGTCATTACTATGATACTCAAATGTCCCAGGACATTCTTATCAGACCTGAATAAGTCCCAGGGCCTGTGGTCCTGTGTCTGCCTGGAGTCTCATCCAGAGAACCAGAGAGGAATGAGGCCGTGCCCAGCAGCCGAAATGTGTCTCACAAAAAAAGAATTCTAGATATTTCTCAGCATCTCTGCCCATTCCTGAAGTAACATTATGTCAACTTCATCTTTTGTAGTTCTTTTTTTTTTGGAGACAGAGTCTCAAGCTGTCACCCTTGGTAGAGTGCTATGGCATCACAGCTCACAGCAACCTCAAACTCTTGAACTCAAGCAATTCTCTTGCCTCAGCCTCCCAAGTAGCTGGGACTACAGGCGCTCTCTGCTACGCCATGCCTGGCTCTTTTTCTTGTTGTTATTGCAGTTGTCATTGTTGTTTTTAGCTGGCTTAGGCTGGGTTTGAACCCACCACCCTCTGTGTATGTGGCAGGCACCCTACCCACTGAGCAATGGGTGCTGCCTTCTACAGTTTTCTAAAGGGACAGCAAAAGACTTTGCACAAGGCATAGCCTGACCCAATTTCCTACAACTTTATTGTCCTCAAGTTTTCAGCTGGGAAACATCTTCCACTCCCCTTCCCACAACTCCTTTCCTCTCCCAACAAGTGCCTCCCAACCCCGGGACAGAAGTGGCTATAGAGGTTCCCTTTAAGCCACTATCCACCTGCCAGTTGACATTGTCTTGGTGACAGGGAATCCTCTGGACCTGTGGTCCCTCCTGTTCATATGGGAAATGAGCAGAAAGGTTTTCAGGAGGATTTCTGGTGAGTGGGCACATCATGCCATGGGGTTGCTTGGCCTCTTTTCCATTGTGGTCTCTGTCTCTCCAGGGAGAGCCCACTGCAGTGTGTGGCCTTTCTCTGATGTGTCACTGCACTTTATAAATGACCCCCTAGTCATTGCTGCATGTGTTTGGCAGGGGCCTCACCAGACCTGTGAAACCCTGTGGGTAAACTGAAGGGCTACAGCTGTGAGTAGCTGGACTCCTAGGAGTTCCTCAGCCCTCAGGGACCACCCACCTCCTTGGAGAGCTAATTTCCATGGCTGTGGTCTGGGTGATTGTGCAGAACCCTCTGCCTGAAACCCAACCTCACTGGTCCTGCTGCAGAAGTGGCCCAGACAAGGTTGCAGCACTGGCCTCTGCCCTGGGCATGGGTAGTAGATCAGTCCCAGGGACTTCCTGACAAGCGTGATGGGAGCCATGGCCTATCCCCTGCCATCCCTCCAGGGCTGACAAAGGCACCCTTCTCCCCTTTCTTTGTCTTGCAGATGGACTGCTGTGGCAGGAGCCTCAGAAAAGTTGTTCCAGGAGGCCCAGACTCAGGCCCGGCCATGGCCTCTTCACCAGCTATGGCCCCATCACAGGCCGTGGCCCCATCACTGGCCGTGAACCCATCCTTAGCCATGGCCCCATCCCCGGCCATGGCCTCATACTCAGGGGTGGCCCCATCACCATCCCCATCTGTAGCCGTGGACCCATCCTTTGCCATGGCCCCATCACTGGCCATGGTGCCCTCCATGGCTGTGACCCTATCACCAGCTGTGGCCCCATCCACGAACATGGGCCCATCCTTGGCTGAGGTCCCATCATTGGCCATGGCCCCATCACCAGCCGTGGCCCCATCCTCAGCGGTGGCCCCATCACTGGTCCCACTCTTAGCTGTGGACCCATCTTCAGCCATGGGCCCATCCTTGGCCATGGCCCCATCACTGACCATAAGCCCATCCTCAGCTGTGGCCCCATCTCTGGCCCCATCCTTAGCCATGGCCCCATTACTGGCCATGGCACCCTCCTTGTCCCTGGCCCCATCACCGGCCATGGCCCCATCCGTGGCCATGGGCCCATCCTCAGCTGTGGTCCCATCCTCAACCGTGGTCCCAACACCAGACATGGCCCTATCCTTGGCCGTGGCCCCATCACCAGCCATGACCCTGTCACCGGCCATGGCCCCATCTTCAGCTGTGGCCCCATTACTGGCCATGGCTCCATCACCAGCCATGGCCCTAGTCACAGTATGGGCCCCATCCTCGGCCATAACCCCATCCTCGGCCATGGCCCCAGCTCCAGTGAGGGCCCCATCAATGCCCTCAGCACAGATGGCAGCTGCACTACATGCCCAGGCTGCAGAAAAGCTGCGCTTTCTGCGCCCCATCCCCAGGGTGAATGGCTGGTCCTGGCCCCTGAACGTGTATCAGTGTGTGTCCTGGGTCAATTTTCTCATCCTGACGGTGACCACATTGGGGATTTTTATTCCCTTTGTTTACAGAGACCTGCAAATTTCCGCCTATGTTGTATCCTTTTCGCTGGGCGTGGCCTGCTGCTTCCAGTGCAGCTGCTCCCAGTGCAGCTGCTCTGGGATCCCTGGCAATGCTGTCCCGAGTACCGTCCTGGGGTGGATTGTCCCTCTCTGGTGGCAGGTGCCCCGTCAGCCTCTGTTGCTCTTGCCGCTCAGTACTCTGGGTCCTAGTGAGAAGGGTGGGCACTGTCCACATGGAGCTTATCCAGCCCCCACATCAGTGAAGGGAGAGTGCGACAGACATAAGGTGATAGAAAGGGTGAGAGGAGTGGAGCGCAAGGGCTCCTGAGCAAGCAGGAAGAGGCTGCAGGCTTGGATCACTTCTGCTCTTCCCGCAATGCACTAAGGAACGATTTGTGTTGGCCAGGAAATAATGGCAAGTTCTACTAAGAAAGGGCTTTTTACAAAATGCTGAAGGCTTTACAATATACAACTGATGTGTTCACCCATCCGAGCCTCTGCCTGTGTGTGGAATCCATTCCTAGACACAGCAGGGCTATCCAGTCAGCTCTCGCATGGCCTGCTCATGGCAATGTGGAGATTTCATGTTTGAATTCCTCCTGGGGCCTCTACTCGTGGATAAGTCACAACCGACCAGTTGGGACATCAGGCCCAGAAGATGGTGGGGAGGCCCTGCATCCGCTCTGGTCTTCAAGGTTAGTCTGGTCAGGGTGGTGTGTGCCACACACAGGTGACCATGACAGTTGATGGGAAACCTGGGTCCCCAAGGGTCACTGCCACATCACTGATCTGCTGAAAACTAGCCTGTGTTTGATGCTCCTGGGAACTGGAATCATGTTTCTAAAAGTAGGATGTTTTACTCCTCACTAGAGCCTTCCTCTCTACAAGGAAGCAGTTTACAGCTGTGCTCCCTGGTTCTGTGCAGAGGCTCATGGTTTACAACTGTGCCTCGTGGTCCCGGGCAGGGCCTCCCAGTTTACAACTGTGCCTCGTGGTCCCGGGCAGGGCCTCCCAGTTTACAACTGTGCC